AAATAGGCTAAGTAAACATGTATAATATATAACCAAATAAATAAGAAACGTAGAACATTTATTAGCAAAACGAATAAGAAAGCTTGGAGGCACGGCATACACTTGATGTAAAAAATAAAAATAAATGAGACAGTTTAAATAAAGTAAAAATCAGCAAACAATGTAGAACCAATTAAATAAGAAACGAATGTTAAAAAAAACTTCCATAATCAGCTTAGATAAACGGCAAAAGTCAACAGGCTTTTCAAAATCCAAAATACTGCCAAACAGGAGCTTTTGCATCTCGTTTCGACACTAAATCATCCGCGATCGTCTTGTGTCTCGCCTCACTCTTCTTGTCAGTCAGCTCGACTCCCTCTCCTCACTGGAGAAATTAAATCTGATCTGTAATGCGACTGACGTTCGGCACGCTGCATTGAGCAGCCACGTTAAGCTTTTAATTGTGGTGTCTGTTCTTTTACTGAACTAAATTATTTTTATTACTATGAAAATCTAAACGATGGTGGGGGTCGGTGCCGCGGTGGGCAAGTGACGTAACCGGTGTTGCGGCTTAACACTGGTATCACCGTCAACACCGTCTATTGCGGCAAGCCTAACAACGACTCATTTTCAAACTTTGAAGCGTTACTAACAATTCAGTCTTACAAAAAGTCGCACTGCAAAATGTGATGCTCTTCCTCGATATTTGTCTTGTTTACCAGTACAAATGTCTCAAGTTTCTTAAATTAAGATACATTTACTTGCGCAAAATTACATAAGCTTTGTTTTCTGTGAAGCTGATCTAAATTAAGCGAATTTATGATTAAAAAAATAATTTTGCCAACAGGCCCAGAAAAAACAACTTAATTTAAAAGGGAAAATGCTTTCAAATATTAGACATTTGTTCTCTCTTTTTTTTCCTTTTAAGTATAAACTCACATTTTGTTCTACGTCTCAAAACAAGATTTCATATAATTTTGCATCAAGGAAATCTGGAGTACTTTGAGATAAGGACATTTGAATTTATGACTTTCAACTCCGCCTTCATTTACAGAAAAGCAAATTAAAACTTTAGACCCACACAAACCCTGCAAATATTTCAGAGGCAAAATCAAACACTATTCATCTTGCATCGATGTAAATATTTTTCTCCTCATTGAATGCATCACATTCTCCAAATAACATTTGTGTCAGCAGATATTTGTGCTGATGATGCATCTATACATGACAGTTAAAGAGGTCATATGATGCGATTTCAAGTTGTGCTTTCTCTTTGGAGTGGCAAGAAGAAGACGCCTCACGCGCCGGCTGTTGTGAACGCGCTCAGGACAGTTGGACATTGCGGTGAATCAGAGGTAAAAAACTATATAAATACTGTTCAGTTTCTTGCACAGACCGATCGTTTCGTGTCTATACACATCAATGTATCGTCACGAGCCGCAGGGTTTAATTTGGTTTTGTTTGTGTATGTTTTTTGTCTTTCAAAGCCGTGATTCCCATTCACTTCCATTATATGACTGACAGACTGCAACGTTTTGAGTTAAAAATCTCAGTTTGTGTTCTACTGAAGAAACAAAGTCACCTGCATCTTGGATGCCCTCGGGGTAAGCAGATAAACATCAAATTTTCATTTTTGGGTGAACTATCCCTTTAAACTTTTAAAACTGTAAATGAGAAGAACACATTACAATTCTACTTTAAGCATGTACATTGCAATGTGTTTATCTCTGATAATATCAAATGCAAAACATTGGCTTTATTTTCTTTATGGCTAGTTATACCTCGTTTATGGCATGTTCTTAGATCATTTTCGTGGAGATGTACTGCATACCTTCCCTGGTTTGAGTTTGACCCACAGCTCGTTGTCTGGTCTCCTGAGTTCAGCGGAGAGCTGCCTGTGAGCCGTGTACCAGCGCCGCACCACATCATGAGGGACTGTGTTAATAACAGAACGGTCATAGTTATTATACCTGCAAAACAAGAAAACACAACTCAAACAAAACTGCTGCAAAAACGACTTGCCGAATGCCACAATGATAGTGTTTTAATTATAGATGTTCCTGTGTTATCTGTACATGACAGCACACGCAGGAAAAAGTCTCTTACCGAATCATGTAAACCTCGTTGTTCCACGGATAGACGTTGAGCACGGGGCCGATGCCGATCATGTGGTTGCGATGCTCACTCAGGTTCTCCACATACTCGTGTTTGATGGGCACGTGGGAAAGCAGCTCAAAGTTCTCGGGCGTTCGCTGGAGGACCTCGTCAGCGGCGTGGAAACCGTCCACCAGCAGAGTTCTGCCACCCGTTCCTTCATGTCTCAGACAGTGAAACACCTGGATGCTTATGGAGCAAAACAAGGCATTAAAAGCAGCACTGAAGAATGTGGACCGTTTTAATCACCATTATACTGTACATGAAAGTTGTGTTACTCTTGATTTCCTTTTGGCTTTACCTCTGCTCAAACTAAAATCTGACAATTTTGCTTTACATTTTTGCTTTACATCCAACATTAATACAAATGTTTTTGTTAAGCGTCTGCTAACCATTATGCAGATGACACTTTTCAGGGTTTTTTTTTTTTTATTTCTACTTGATGCAATAACTAAATCATTGATATCAACAATAAATAATTGTGTGTTTTATAATTATAATGATACTTAAGTGCTACAAGTCTAATATTTCCTGTAACATTTCACTGAGTAGCTGTTTGCCTGTTACAATTTGAATAATTTATGGAAAACAAAACATTAAGATAAATGTTAAGTTAATAATAAATACTGTAGTGTTGGGTTTTCATCTTTAGACTGGTATTTACTTATAAATGAGTAGAAAAGTGTGCACATCAGTATAAAAATAAATAAATACATAAAAATCAGTCAAATCTCTTAACTTGTAATCTAAGGTTACTCCAGTGTTCATCAGATGTTTTAAGCTCTTATATAATTCTTTATATAATTAAAGAATTTGACTCCCTGCCGATTGACTAAGCAAACTTGATCTGACAGCATTTGGCCTTTCGTGGCTAATTGAAGCCCAACTTTGATTTTCCCGTTTACCCGCAGGGTTCTTGAAAGTATGACGTGTCGGTGTGGCGGTCCAGTGCCAGCTTCGTGTAGGCTGTATCTCCACGAGAAAAATCTGAAGTGAAGTTCCACATCCGCCCATACATGGTCTCCCTGGAAACAAAGAATTGCTTAACATAAGTCATCTTAATTAGGATAAACTATTATTGTGACCTTCATTTTCTAAATCAATCATCCAAATCTCTGGAAAAAAAGAATGGCACGGTTCGTCTTCCTGTTACACTGCAGCTGAAACTCAAAATATCGACATGTATCGCGGTATGCATATCACATGGGCTTCAGATAACACAATGATTGAGATAATGATTTTAATACTTCAAAACGTTTATGGTGGTGCAGACAGCAGAGAATAAACTGGGTACAAGGCGTGTGTGTGTGTGTGTGTGTGTGTGTGTGTGCAAAAGACAACTAAAAAGGGAAGAATATGAAATGCTTATGTACACACCATGCATTTTTCACTAATATGTTTTAGTTCCTTTGATAAAGTCTATGCTTTATACAGAGAAATATCATAATATAGACTTCACTTTCCATTTGTGCTGTTTTTTGTCAAATACCAATCTTCAAACTTCTCAATGCCAGTTTATTCATTCTTTAAGCAAACATTTGCCTGTATAGACTGTCCGGTGAGCAACCAGCTTTAATCTTGTTTGGAGTATCTGTAGTATGTTGGATATATAATTATCAATCAATTAAATGCATTTTAATTTTAATTCCACTTATGATTATCTTATCACATTCTAGGGCTGTCAAAAAAAAAATCTAATTTAGAATATTCTTCGAATTAAAAAAAAAAATCCACATTCGAAAGCAAAAACGTTGCATTCGAATTTTAGGTCTGCGTCAGCCGTCAGGCAGTATTATCAGTGGCGCACGAAATGCGACGACGATGTAAGTGTCCTTGCATTTTAATGCTTTTGTTAGCCTATCCAGTTGAAGCCACTAGATGCGGCGCTGCTACGTTGTTCATTCAATATATTGCGGAAAACAAGAGCATCAGTGTGGCGAAGATGTTGTTTACGGCTAAACTGAAACCTCACATTTTCTAGAGGGACATCTATCAGCGTTGCACTCGCGTCTCGCACAAGAGAACCGCATGTTTAGAAAGCCATGTAAAATTAATGTTAGTTTAACTTTTAAAAAACATGTCTCAAGACTTTAAGGCGGTTTTCCCATCCCACTACATCTCATGTTTTTAAATGAAGAAAGTAGCCTACTCTTTGTGATTGGTTTTCAGTCCTTTGTATTAAACATCATACATGCATGATTCTGTTTTGTTTCTAATTGTTTAAGCAACTTTATTAATTATATATGGTTTATAAACATTATTTTAAACATTATGCACTTTTTTTCAAAGATAGTCGTGTTATTTTATTACGCTTTGAAGAAACGTGCATAATATTTTGCTCGATGCGCCCTCTTGTGGCCTCAGGAGAGAAGCCAAAAGCTTTTTTTCCCCCTAACTGACATTATTTTGATAATATTTAAATGGAAAATTCGAATTTAGTTTTTCAGTCGATTTGACAGTCCTACCACATTTTTCTTGACTATCATGCAGCCCAAACTGCAACAATCTTCTATTTGTCTAAACGCAACACTAAAACGGAAAAGGATTGGTGGTTCTGAATTTTAATTTGTTCAAAAGACACAAATTCTCAAATTTTACATTGATGGAGAACCTCCCTTCACTCTCTGCCTTGAAACTCTTTTAGTTGCAGCTATTTTAGTTTCTGTCTCTTCCCAAAAAGTCCAGTCTGCTCTGATTGGTCAACTGCTTAGAGCATGTATGTAATGCCCCTTTCCATAACTAAGGCTTCATGAGCAGCTGTAAACAGTATTATATTTTTGGTAACTTTGGCATTGCTATTGTAAGTCCATATATGTTTTTCTTTAATAAAACAGCATCTCCTCAAAATAGTGAAATCACTCAGCCAACTGTTCTTTGAGGGCAGGCCAAAACAGCCAGTGGACAGGCATCAGAGTTGTCAAAAATACCAGTACATTGGTACCAAAACAATACTTAAATTTTGAAAATGTAACAATACCAGCCTCAAATGCTCCTGTACATATTTGTGTGAGATCTCTATGAAGAGCATCCAAGGTTTCTATTTACAGAGGTTTTGCAGTGTTGAGCTTTGTAGTCAATCACATACATGTTTGTCATGCATGTGACTGCAATAGCCAATCAGAGGCTTTTAAGTCAAAATCCACTCAATATGCCAGAGTTTGTTCAGCATCATTTCCATATAACAAAGTATAAACACAATGTAAATAAGTCAATGTTTTTTTATTATAACGGGAGTCTTGTGTTCAGTCAGTGAACATGCGCTAAACTGAACTGATATCAGCTTCACTGATTATAAAGGAAGTGCTCTTTGCTCACTTTCTGTATATAACATTCATAATTTGAATTATTGAATCATTTTCAAGCTGCCAAGTACACACTGCAAAGTTTCAGGAATGATAACCATATTGAAATGCAGGCTTGAATCTGAAATTGCTTTGTTTGACATTGTAATAACAGTAAAAACAGATGGGGGGAAAATCTGTGAATTAAGTTTTGCAATTTAGTTTTGAAGGCTACATGTTTTAATGTATTATTTACTTATAATTATTAGAGCCCGACCGATATATCGTTTAGTCGATATTATCGGCCGATATGAGCCTGTCGCCGATATATCGGTATCGGCGAATATCCCGCCTCACATATTATCTGGATAACAATACAGCTAGTAACAAAGTAATATAGTGTATCAAATTCTGCATGCATGCTTACTTGCAGCGCGCGAGTCGATCCGGAACTTCAAGCTCCTGTGTGCGGTTTTGACAAGTGTGGGCGAACTTTGCTTCGTGTCTGTTTCTTAAAGAGTTGACATATAAAATCGTTAACATTAATCATTGAACTTGAGCTTTATCCCCGCCATTGTGTCTGTGTGTTCATGTGGTGTCCACGCAAGCGCGCAAACCCGCAGATTCTACTATGTTGAAGACCTGCTTAATATTCATGAGCCAGAGCTGCGCCATTGGAGGTTACCGAGCATACGTCACTTCGGATGTATTAATATTAATAAGCCAAGCCTTTACCATAGTATGATCCAGTTTTAGGGGTTTATGTTCAATATAAAATATGCATGCATATTCTTACATTTATTTACCAGGTTGCAGGCTTATTAAACGCCACTTACTTTACACTATCGACATTAAAACTATATTTATTTTATAACATTAACATTTTAAGCATTTTCATATCACTTCAAAAATAATAATACAGTAATAATCATCCGTAAATAAATGTAAATAAAAGCCACTTTCACATTTCTTCCTCACAGCTTACTAGTTGTTTTATTTCTAACTTGTTAATAGGCCTACTTGCTCATTAAATACTAGTACTTTCACATTTTTCGGCAGATAGTACACTAGAAAGCACTAGGTAGTAGTAATAATAATAATAATAATAATAATAACTTGAACAATAACAATCTCTCTCTCGCTCTAAAGTATAGCGTGGCTACTGACACCTGCTGGTGTGAATCTGAAACAGTAACACTGCAGAATGAACAAGCAACATAGAAATAAAGAAATTCAATGAAATGGTGTGTTATGTTTTTATGTGAACTCAGGTAAGTATGCAGGTGTTTGAAGACGTAGTCTATTATTAGGTACTTTTTAAAATATTATTTTGATGTATGGTAAAGTGAAATTTAACTGTATCTGTGAGCTTTCAACACCATAATACATAAATGAATTAGTTATATAATTGTTATAAATTGATGATTATTTCCTTATGGTATAGTGCCTTTAAATTGATTATGATTAAAAATGATTTCATCGGAGAAGGAATTGTCAGTGCATATAGTTGCACGGATTAATTGCTCAGCACTAGCAATGTGCGGTAACAATGTAAATAGTGTAAATTTTGATTTCATAAGGGCTTTAAAAAGAACAGTCAAATGTTTCCAAGAACAATTATAGGTAGTTAACTGACAAAAGTCAGACTTTTGACTAAATCAACTTATAAAATTCACATAGATGGTTGAGTATAATGAATAGTATACGCCACGTAATTTGGACAATTATTGAGATGCACTCTAAAAAAAATAATTCAGGGTGACCTGTTACCACAACATGGTTGCAAGTTCAAAAATGGTAATTTATTCACTTATATTAAACCTCAACATTATTTCGATCAGATATATTGCCATAAACATCAGTGCATTGCCTGCATGGCCTCACAAATGCTCTGGGCAAAAATTCCTACAGAGACACTCCAAAATTGTGGAAAGCCTTCCCAGAAGACTAGAAGCTGTTGTAGGGACCAACCCCATAATCAATGTCTATGTATTTAAATTGCAATGTCATGTGTTGGTGTAATGATCAGGTGTCCCCTTTTGTCCATATAGACTTATTGTGATTGCTTGAAAACTAAAACGCATTAAAAACAAACAAATAATACATGTTTGGTTTCCCCAGATTCTGTTTCCGAGGCACCCTGACACTAGGCTACACCTTTTGGACGTGTCGTTTATCCTCCATACCTCATCTTTATTACTGCGCGTTCATGGCGACCTGTGCTGAGCGTGATAAGTCAAATGAGAGGCGAAATTATTTCATACTAAACCAGAATCAAAGTAAACAAAAAGCACTATTATTATAAAAATAATTTGAGTTTATTGGGTATAAGTATATATTTACAAAATGATTATTCTATGTGTGTTGCGTTTACACTTAATCAGGTGACTGTCATGTGATGAACTGATTGTTTAAATGGACTCGGAGTGTGTTTGTAGTTTGACACTCTGATGAAGGCTTGTTAGCCGCAACGCGCACTTGAAAGTTGTTTTTAATGTAAAGCCATGGGAATAAAGGCTTTTTTTTTTACCTACATTTTAGAGTGCTTTGGCTTATGAGTTTTTTAACTATGTTTCTTCTCTTATCAGTTGTGTACATTAGGGTTTTATCACCTGATGAAGGCTTGTTAGCCGCAACGCGCACTTGAAAGTTGTTTTTAATGTAAAGCCATGGGAATAAAGGCTTCTTTTTTTTTACCTACATTTTAGAGTGCTTTGGCTTATGAGTTTTTTAACTATGTTTCTTCTCTTATCAGTTGTGTACATTAGGGTTTTATCATAAATCTAATGATGTTAAATGAATGTTTACTGCATTATTTCAGTATCATGTGGGTCACCGTGATGGTGTTTAGTGTTTGTGTGAATCTTGTTTAAAGCTGTTTGTGATGAGCTTTGGTTCATCACGTGACTTTCTCATCACCACCAGTTTTTGATGGTTATCAGTGCATTACAATGGTTCAAAACAGATATTAGTACTTCAATATGTTGATTTATTAACATTACATCAGTTAATGATATACATATTTATTGTGAATTTAAGTCAAGTCTGTAAAACCTAAAATGTTGCTACTATAGTTTTTACTGTGAAGTTCTGGCAACCACAACTGCCTGTATTTTACGGTAAATGTCACAGATTTTTTTTTACAGTGTAGTCTTTTTAAAAATAGCAGTGGCTCGAACAGACGTCATGTATCATCTCCGCTTAAAAAGATGCATTCTAATCCTGTTTACACTTAATAAGCGTGCTCTCTAGTGGGTTTGTCCTTATAAGCTTTGAGGAACCTAACAATCCTGGATCATGACAAATCATCAACAGTAAAATCTAAATAACTGAGCAATCCACATACGGGGCCCACGACTAAGAAACACACAGCCTCGGTATAGGTTTCAGCCTTCTGATTGAGAAACACTCACGTATTAAGCTGCGGTCACACAACGGATGCTGCAACAGTCATAATACGACGGCATGCTCCGCCACATCATCCACATTTTAATTATACAAAGCAAAGGACAGGAGGATTTTATATTAAGTATGAGTGTTTCTGTACAACACAATAGGCCTACTTGCATATTTCTGAAAATACATAGAGGCCAGACACGTATATTGAAGTCTAAGTCAGTCATGAGTGCCTGTGGCTTTTTGTTTTTATAATTGCGCTTTATACAATACAGATTGTGTCAACGCAGCTTTACAGTGACAAACAGGAAAATAGTTTGTCCATAATGCAAGGGGATAATAACAAACAGTCAATTTTTCAGTTAAGGTCGGTTTATTGATGTTTCAGTGATTTTATCATCCTGTCAGCTGGGAGGATCAACTCAACCCCAATGCGGTTACAAAAACACTCTACACAACAAAGAATAACAAATCTCATTTATTTACAAAAATTGTAAGAGGGTTCAAAAACTTTGAGAGGGGGCTCAGGCCAAAACAATAAACAACCTAACTAGTTAAGGGACAAACTAACTAAACTACAAAAGAAAAGAAAACAAAATACAGCGAAAATAACTCACAAACATAAACAAGAGAAAACAAGATCAAAAAGAAAACGAGGCCCCCTCTCTACTAACCCCTTTGCAAATTAACAATATAAACTCATTAAAGATTTAGAAACAAAAATGTGTACAAACATGGCAATTTGGTGATGATCCGTGCATTCTCCAGCATGATGAAGCACCGTGTCACAAAGCAAGAGTGACAAAGAAGTGGCTCGAACATCATTGCATTGAAACTTTGGATCCGTGGCCAGGCAACTCCCCGGATCTCAGTCCCATAGAGAACCTGTGGTCAGTCCTCAGAAGGCGAGTGGATCAACAAATTGTGATCAACTCCGAGAACTAATAAGGCAAGAATGGATCGCCATCAGTCAGCATTTGGCCTTGAAGCTAACATCCAGCATGCCAGAGCGAATTGCGGAGGTTATGAAGAACAAGGGTCAACACTGTAAATATTGACTCGTTATATATATTTTTTTGCCAATAAATTCCTTTAAAACTTATGATATGCTTATCGTTTTTCAGTATACCATAGAAACATGTGGAAAAATAAAATTATCTACAAATACTGAAGCAGTATTTATGCCAGATCGGTGTGACAAAACTAACCCATGCCAGTCAAAAACAGCCCAATGTAGCGCAAACATATCTCAAATATTAAAACTCAAAATTTGTAGTTTCCATACCTAAAATATAGTATTTTGCGGTTACTGTTATGCACATTGATCATAAACACAGCTCTAAGGCTTCCTACCAGTGGCCCTCCTTAACAAAACTTAACATCTAGCGCAGTTCTGTCACAGAAAGCTAAATGTTTTAATACAAGCAGCAGTCAAATGTCAGACATGCATTATTTCAAACCTTTAACCCACAGCGAAAAATCAACCTACGGCAACAGTTTAAAAGTAGCCCAATTCTGTGGAAAAAAAATGACTGCATAAAAAAAAAACTATCTGATTCAAACAACATTTGTGGGTGGTTTGAAATGCGTTAAGTTGGTTATGTCTGGACTCACGAATCTGATTTGATCACTTGCAAATAATAGTGCGGACAAGAGGTGTAAAGTATAATGTAGGCCTAATTAATTACTGTAGGCTACTTAAGTATCTTTTTGGATACTCCGTAGTTTTACTGAGTATCAATGATATTAGCAACATTTACTCTCTACTTCACTACATTTTTGAATAAGTATCTGTTCTCTTTACTCCAGTCCAATACATTTGTAATGAGTGTTGAAATAACATATTAGCCTACATTTTGCATGCCAACTTGCTTTTTCTGCAGCAGTTTATTTCTGCTATAAAAGAAGTGATTTCGCAACTTCAGGGCACTGAAAATACAATATCTTTTGCATTTTGCCTTTACTCACCCAAACATGTCAACAAGGCTATACTTTACGTGAATGCGAGCTCCTTAGTTGTGAATCACAGATGTTTTATATATGAGATGAAGACATTACTGCAGCTGGCAATGAGGCCCAAACCAGCACATCCAGTGCAAGAAGCCTTTAAAATTTACTTAACATGATTTTTTCACTATTCTTCTGTATTCTTAGCCTATTTTTTTTTTAGGTTTTCAGTTTTATTTTGGTTTTAGAAAATAAACGTGATTGCTCTCCCCCTTACAAATCAACTCTTCTTGTTTTTCACTGGCATGTCTCTTTGACTAGAGCATGTTTGAGCCTATAAATACTTAAGTAGGCTACAGTTCAAATCAGATACTCAGCCTTTTACTCAAGTTGTTTTGAAATGTGTGACTTTTGTAACTTGTCGTGGAGTCATTTTCACTGTAAGGTCGGCCAGTGTTGGGGAAAGTTACTTTTAAAAGTAATGCATTACAATATTGCATTACTCCATAAAAAAAGTAACTAATTACGTTTTATGGAAAGTAATTCGTTACGTTACTTTTGCGCTACTTTTTAAATCTGGACAGGGCTTGCTTGTTTGTTTTTAAAATAAAAAAGTTATATTTTTGGCAAATATAAAAGCCTTTTCACACCAAAAGTGAAATGAATAAGTCTCAGGCTGAAGGGAAAGTACATTTACGTCCGTACAGTAGAATGCAGAAGAAGACATTTCAACACACTTCAGCAATAAAAAAAGACACAAATGTTCGTCTAGAGTAATTTGTGCTTATTAGTACGGTTGAACTGGATTACCGAAGGTCAGAAGCAAAGACATTGCTTAATAGAATGGGATTAAATGCATAAAGCATATTTGTGTTGTTTAACAGAATATGACGTTTTGCGAATTATTTTTATTCATTTTGAGGAATACTGAATCTGTGTGTTTTTTTTGTTTTTTTTTGTGAGTGAGATGAATTAATGCATATTCATATTTATTTTAACATCATCTGATTTCTCTCAACATGGGGACAGAAGAGCTGTCAATCACTAAATTGAAAAAAAAAAGTCACTTGCGTTACTTATTTGAAAAAGAAACTCAGATATTCTCTTGTAAACTAAAAAGTAATGCGTTACTTTACTAGTTACTTGAAAAAAGTAATCTGATTACGTAACTTGCGTTACTTGTAATATATTACCCCCAAAACTGAGCTCGGCTACCTGTACTTTTACTCAAGTATGGTTTTCAGGTACTCTTTACACCTCTGGTGCAGACAGTCTGCCTGAAAAGATCTGATTTGCCTGCAGTCTGAACATTTATTATTTTTATTTTTGACACGTTACTCGCGCTATATATTTTTTTAAGTTAAATTAAATTTTAAAAACGAAATGGGGTGGGGCTGGGAAAAGGGGTTGATGGGGGCTTTGAACAAGTTAAACTGACGAACAAAATGTTGAGTAACAACATGTAGCCTATTTTAGGCAACCTTGCAGATTAAAAAAAATATCAATGTTTGATAAATGACGCAAAAACATTGAGTTATAGATGTTAAAGCAACAGAGTTACAACCCTCTCTGTTGTAAAATGAAACACTGAGGCTATATAAAGTAATTCGTTGGCCTATAATAAATAACATTAGTCTGATTGTACGTCAGGAACGGGTGAAATTGAAACAGCAGGTTTGTCGTGTTTGACCTGCCCTCATTCAGCAACACCTGTTTCTCCCAGCACTGATAAATGAAACACACGACACCTGACTGGGACAACGAGAGAGAGCTCAGCCACAGGGTGAAGGGTAAGACACTGTGTGGTTCTTCGTGTGATTGAGATGAGTTTAGCAGTCTGGAGTATTTATACAGCAGGAGAGACCTAAGCTGAAGAGTCAAAGCATCTCAATAACTAACGTTAAATGTCCGACATAGGTAAAGTTATGTTTTTTTTCTAGCGGTGGGATTGCATGTTGGTTCGGGCATCTAATTCAAAACTCTCTTATATTAGAAAATGTGTCTTCCAAACCAAAAATACTGTCGTTCAGACAAGCGTCTGCAGCCTGTATGAAGGCATAAATTTAGTTTACCGAAAGGTATTACAGTTTCTGTTGGCAAAAACAATGATTCGACATATCTTGATTATTTAATCCATTTTGTGTTTTATATTCATTATACTGTTTACATTTTGCGGGCGACAAATTTGGCAATAACGAAAAAGTGTGACAGCCTCTGTCTCCCCTATAATAACAATTTTATAATACCTAGTTCTAATTTTATTTTGATTGTTATTTCAAGTCAGGTTAAAAAAAAATCTAAAATAGGTATATCTCGCAGGTCATTCATCCCGGACAGGTTTATTCACTAGATATAGACGTTTTATAGATCAGTAACTGTTCCAGGTCTTACCTTCTGCAAACTGTATGACAAATTAACCAGTTGCAGTGGCTATGAAGTGCAAAATATTGAAAACGTGTTTTCTGAATGTTACACAGGCAGTTCGATTCAGGACAGCAGGAGGCCAAAGCCATGATGAAGTCTGAAATCATTTAGACTGTATGAAATATATTTGAGACTGAAATTTTGAAATAGCATCTTTTCCAAATTTGTACATAAGGAAATCTGACCCCTCAATACCCCTCAGCTGTACAAGACAATGTACAACGGTATTCTTGAAGTCGTCCTGGGATCGCATTCACAAAACATTCTTGAGAATACAGTTCTTCTTAACTGCTGTTTTCTTGCTTAAGAAACTGTGTTTTTGTCTTCCTAGAAAAAAAAGCTTCTTAAGAATGAAGAATTTACATTGAAAAGAATCTTCTAAAAAAGTCATTGTAAATAACTTCTTAAAGGTAGGATGTTGCATGAATGATTTTCTCACTCAGACACGACCTCTGGCAAAACTCTACAGGCTGGTTTGCACATTTACATGCTCTTTTCCAAAACTGTTCAACTTAAGTTCAAAATCTAACATAATACAAAACTGAATAAGACAGTGGTTTGCTGCAATTCTACAGTAACACCATATTGAAATATATTTTAAATCCAAAAGCTGAAATATTATCAAAACAATTACATCTACATTATAGCTGAACACTGAGTACTGTAATGTAAATTCGGACCATGCAACAAGTACTGCAGTGAGTAGAGAGTGCCATTCTTGTTTTGTAAAGACATTTTACAGAAGAAAACGTTATGTAATGCAACCGTTTGTTAGTGGTTTTTAGGTCATTATTTTATGAATGACAAAGCGTGTTTGCGGTGTTGTGGTATTCTTGAGGCCTGTAATTTTCTCCTTAAGAAAAACAAAGATGTTCTTAAGAAAATCTTCAAGAATTTTCAAGAAATTATGAATAAACATCTTGGAATTTATCTTAAGAAATGTCTTTAGTTCTTTCTTAATGAATCCGGCCTCTGGTGTCCCAGCTTGCCCATTTTTAAAAGGCTTGGTATGATCATCAAACTTTATGACAAAAGAGGAATATTGGCAGCCAGCAGTGAACATGACTCACCTAATACATGCATTATATACATCATAGGTTTGTGAACACTTTGAAAATGTCTGGACTTTTTACATCTTTGTTGCATATACTGAGTAATCATTTGAGGAAAGTAAGTGAATTTAGAAACCTGCAGATGCTCCTTTTGCAGCAATACCTCCACTAAACATTTTCCTGCAGCTGCTTACAAGACTTTTGACCATCCCTCCTCACAAACCTTCAGTTTATCAATATTTCAAGGTTGTCTTGATAGCACAGCCCTCTTTAGGTTATGCATCTCATTTGACTTAAGGTTGGGACTCACATTTTCTTCTTTTTCAGCCATACTTTATTTGATTTCCTTGTGTGCTTTGGGTCACTGTCTTATTGCATCACCAAGCCTCTGTAAATCTTGAAGTCATGAATATAATTTTATCATTCTGGGAACATTTTCCCAGAAGCATTGCTGAACATCCAGATGGTTTGAGGCAAACATGAGAGGCAGACATTGCTATTTGTTGTCCTTTCACAAAACACCATTCTTGCTTTTCTAATAGTGGACACACAAACACAGACTTCTGCAGACTGTGCATTTTTGCGGGAGGCTTTTGTTGTTATCCTTAGGTTTTTCTCACTTCTTTCAGGATTGCCTATTGAGAGACATTTTTGCAGGATGTCTATTCATATGGAGTGTGGCAATAGTCCAGAATTTTCTACATTTGCTCTCTTATGCTGTGAGTATTTTTGTAGCCTTTTTGCAGCATTCTTGAAAAGAACAGATTTCTCAGAAAGTTCACTTAGATGCTTCATGCAACAATCACTCTTTTTGTGCGCATGTTATTGGTTAAGTCAGATTGTGTTTGTCCATAACTGTGACTTTTGTCCATAACTGGGACCACATTTTATGAGTAATCAATGCAAAAATCTGTATATTTTCAAACAATTTGCATACTTTTCCTGCCGGTTAAGTTTCCATGCCACTGTTTATTTTACATGTCTGTAGACAAAAGGTTCAAAACAGCTCCCCTACTCACAAGTTCCTAGAACAACATTCTTCCTCCTTCAGATTTAGCCAAAAAATATCATCATAACTCAAAGAAATATTTGTTTTCAAATATTTGTTTAATGAACTTTCCTTGAGAGTGAAGTGCACAAGGTGCTGCTTTGCATTGGTGTTTACTCTTTGTGGGCTGAACCGACATACTGCTGAACTAGTTCCTTGCCCTACTGGCATTCTTGGCAGAGTGCTTAAATGCCGAGAGGATAGCAGTTTAGGAAAGTTTGCTTAAATAGTCAACATTGTGCCAAGTATTAGCATTCTGTCATTCAGTGTTCATCCCCATTCCTTTGTTACAGTAGTTTTTTTTCTTCTTCTTTTTTTTTCTTTTCTTTCCTTTCCTTTTTTTCCTTGTTACACTGTATTGCGAAACATTTTTTTTTTTTTGCAAAACATTTTTCGTTTTAAATCTGTTCTATGATCAATTGCTGTGTCACATCCTAATTTCGTATAATAAGCATGGAATTTGACAATCACTCAGTCATGTTTTGCCACAGGCAAAACGTGAAAGATCAAGAAATATATATGACTGCAAGTCAAGACAGCAGTTTCTTGGTGATAACAGGCAAATTACTGTGAGCTATGCAAATCAAGTCACGTTTGTTTACACTCCTCATCATCCAAGTGTGAAGAAAAAAATCACATGCATTGGAATAGTTTAGTGTTTTCATTATTTACTCACCCTCATGTTGTTCCACACCCTTATGTCCTTCTTTCTTCCATAGAAAACATAAAAGAGGATCATGTTAATGGTACACTTTCATACAGTGATGTACACAGTGACCACGGCTGCTCCAGAAAGGGCATAAAAATACCATTAACTACCATAAATGTAGTCCATGTGACTTGTGCTCTGTCTCTGTCGTTCTGTCTTTGTCGTTCTGTCTGTCGGTCGTTCTGTCTCTGTCGTTCTGTCTGTCAGTCATTTTTTCTCTGTCATTCTGTCTGTCGGTCGTTCTGTCTCTGTCGTTCTGTCTGTCTGTCGGTCGTTCTGTCTCTGTCGTTCTGTCGTTCTATCTATCTATCGTTCTATCTATCTGTCTGTCTAACCAGTATTTTCCATCTCTTTTAGGTGTAGGACGAACAACCACAAGAGTAAGCAGTTCTAGCAAAGACGGCCTGAAGTCAGTTGACACCTGAGACTGATCACACAGAATCAGTTGCTGAGAGACTTAAATTTTACTTTTACCACAATGGCCTTGTTGAATGTTACTCTTCCCTGGAATGTCTCTTTGGACCTCAACCACAGCTATTTCAAATCCAACCTCCCAGAATTAGAGGACACACAACCTACGGTGAAGAACTGGCCAGCCCTGTTCATTCTGGCGTTCATATTTTTTACTGTTGCAGGGAATATACTGGTAATTATGGCCGTGTCCATCGAGAGCAAACTGCACAATGCCACCAACTACTTTCTGTGCTCACTGGCCGTGGCAGACATGCTGGTGGGATTCCTAGTAATGCCAGCCTCTCTAATTAGTATTCTTTACAGTAAGTACT